ATAGCACGTAATTTATATAAAATACTTCATATCTATGTGTAAGATGAAAGTAACTATGCACTCACTTGTTCAGGTGGTGATTCCGAACTCAGACAGCGCTTCGCTTCTTTTAATTTATTTTCTTTCGACGAAACCTAGTATCATTACCACTAGATTCTAGTCTAATATTCATTGCGACTAATTATTAGTTTAGATTCATCATTAACTCAAAGTCTAACTTCATGATCTATCAAGTAAGGAACAACCAGGTAGGATCATATCGGACGTAGGGTCCGTTTGGTATACGAAGTATACTGTTTGGAAATCTCACTTTAAACACCTCACTAAATCACAGCCTAGACATAATTCCCGTAAGTAGATCAATTAGTATAACGAATTTGAATCACTGATAAATCTTATTTATAGGTTCATAATAACAATATTATATTTATATATAGGCTATATTTAAAGTATGGTAGGCGTATCTCACTTACAGCGGGTTTTTATTAAAAACCGGGGCTTCGCTGGAGCAGCGTTTCCGAGCCGAAAAGCTCTTCTTCTCGGAGCCTTCGAGCGCTCCGGGGCTTTCTTCTAGCGCTAGGGAAGTTTCCTAGGCTTTAGGGGGTTTAGGGAGTCTATAGATAAGTTAGAGAGAGAAATAAAGACTTATGGTGTGAAAAAAATATGAAGAGTTCATCTCTTATTTATAGGGGTTTTCTTGTAGAGTAGACCCTAAGTTTCGTCCGTATCTTCCGCGTACGAGCTCCGTTTTCTACGTTCTTTATATCCACGCGTTGGTATTTATGAGTACTACAACTTTCATTTATACCTCGTCGGCTAAATCTCATTCTATCTCCGATTTGCAAAACTGTATCGAATTTATCGTGCTCGAAGAGTAGGGACTAAGTTTCGTCCATATCTTTCGCATACAAGCTCTATTATTGACGTTCTTTATATCCACGCGTTGGTATTTACGAGTACTACAACTTTCATTTAGATCCCGTCGGCTAATTCTCACTCTATCTCAGATTTACAAAACTGTATCGAATTCGCCGCGCTTGAAGAGTAGGGACTAAGTTTCGTCCATATCTTTCGCATACGAGCTCTGTTTTCGACTTTCTTTTTATCATTTAACTCCTATTAACGATATCTTCATTTCTTGTTTAGATTATTTTGGCTAAAAATCGACCGATCTAAAATTCGAATTTCGGGCTGTGCACTGCTATGCAAAATCTTAGAAAAATCATAACTTCCTCATACGAAGTCAGATTTGGGCGTTCTTTTTATGAACGCTCTCGGTTTAACATATACTACGAATTTCGTTTAGATCGCTAAGGCTAGAAAGTATTTTATCGTAAATTCACTTTTTACGATTTCCGGTGTCGTGTCGGTTTTGCCGTAAAACTTCGATAGGTCATAACTTCTTCGTTATAACTCGGATTTCTTCATTCTTTATGTGTACGGAACCCTTGTGACATATAATATAACTTGGTTAAGATTACTCCTTATAAATAATCTTCCATCAAAAAGTCATTTTTGACGCTCATTGTCTCTAAATTGACTAGCCGGAATCTGCAGGCGTTACAGATAGTTTTGGAAAAGTTTTTGTGTTTGCTAGGTTCTATTAACAGGTACAATGGCAAGGGAAAAAACCATTCACGCATCTCATGGTTCTTCCCGTAAAGCTCAATCCTTGGGACCACCCAAAAAAGTGTCCACCGACCATGCTGATCGTAATGGCAACCTTACACTCACTAGTGCACAAATCAAGCTATTCAAGTCCAACCTCCAAAAGCGTGCGATCCGAGCCACAAAATTTTACCACCAGGAGTCGATGATCAAACTTGGGCTTGACGATTGCTTGCAACAACTGTTCTTCAACATAGGTTGGCATGATTTCCTAGCTCTTTCCGTGTGCACATACACGCAACCCACACTTGAGTTCCTCTCCACTTATGTACGGAATGACACGGACAAGGTGCTCGCATTTAGACTCCAGGTTCGGCAGCACCAACTCTCATTCACCACCCTCAACACTATCATGGGCACATACGAGGAACAAAACACCGACATCTATAGTTATCAATGGAATCAATTCAAGAGCAGGCCCAAAGTAGAGTTTTGGACCACATCACCAGTCTTCCAAACTTCAATCCAAGTCGACAAAAAGATCCTTACATCATCCATCCTTGTTGGAGAATCACCCACCGGATCCTTTCAACTTCCATCTTTGGTCGCCACGAGCCGGGCCAAATAAACACAGTCGAGCTATATTTCCTTTATTGCATGACCAGCCGCCGTTGGTCTTGCCCTGGTTTCGCCACCTTTTTCTTGGATAAGTGTGACAACATATGCACGAAGACCACTGGCGACATTTACATTGGAGGTCTCATTACCCTAATTGGTTTGGGTGTGGGCCTTCAATTTCCCGAGTCTGAGTATGTGCCAGTGGATGACCCACCTCTCTACCTCCTAGACTGCTTAGCCCTCACCCGGATGGAGTTATTGGTACCTATCAACAATCGTCAGTACTCCTGGCTCAACCATGTCAAGCAACCAGTTTATACTTTACCTAATATAAGCATATCCGCCTTTTCCACCAGCGACCCCGAAACTTGGTTCTTGCCTGAAGAGTTACATGATGATGATGTTGTAGAAGATGATGATGAAATGCAGGTCGACAATGCCAATGCTGGTAGTCCATTTGAGGTCGAAGACCATTATGACCTCCCAATCCGACAATTGCCACCACCCTTTTATGGTCAACCTTTGGGAGCACATTTTGAGCCACAACATGAGTACCAGTCTTATCCACAACACAACGAGCCCGAGCCGGAACCCGAGTTTCCTCTTGATATATACAGTCAGCTTGCCGCCTTGTGCCTCCAGGGAAACTGGAATACACCATCCATTCGGCTCATCGAGGAGCAGCAAGCCCGCACCAACAACTACATGGAGGATCTTTGGTATCATTTTCGGCCCGAAGGCGGTTACCGCCCTCGCGGTCCTCCTCCACCTTGATCCCGGTATGATCCTTCCTTACTCCCATCCTAAGCATTGAGGACAATGCTTAATTTTAAACTTGGGGTGAGGTATTCTTTATCTTTTATTTTTTTTATTGCATTTAGGTTGTATATTGTTGCATTTAGAGTAAGTCGTTTAGGTCATTCGTAAAAATTGCATAAAAATTTCAAAAATATTGCATATTTTGTTTCCTTCTTTTCTAATTTCCATACTTTTTAGATGCATTCTAGTTTAAGTTCATGCATTTTTGTTCTCTCTTGTCTTCTCATCCCTACAGGTACCATAGCGACGAGTCATAAGTATTGAATCATAGATTGGTCCCGGGTCTCGATATGGAATTCCTTGTATTTGAGAAATGGGACACGTTTTGAGCCTCACGGACCACTTTGAGACCGCTTGTGTGGGGGTCAGATGCTGGTAGCTTGATTGGGTCTAGGTGCGGAGGGATGTGGTTGGTCATGCCAATGTGTGCGAGCAAAGATTAGCCCGGTGAGGTATTTTGAAGACATTGAAGACTTACATCTTGGTTTTGGGGGGAGTACCCCTTAGTACTCCCGAGTCTCGTCCGAGCCTTACTTAGTTAGATTCTCACCACCTTTTTAAGATAGGTTATCATTTTTCTAGGGGTCTATAGTAGATAGTTAGATAGCTTTTGTTTATCACACCTTGCATTGAGGTGCTTGATGAACCTTGAAGTGGGTCCCCCAATTCACATCTTTTGAGACCAAGTTTTTTCGGTAACACCCATTTTTGAGTCATTCCCCACCCTTTTTAGTAGATCTTGGCACATTGTCAATGATCATTAGGAGTTCATGTTAGCCTCCATCCTATGTTACATGGTGAAATTCCTTAGACCTTCAAAGAAGAAAACACAAAAAAATGAAGAAATTGGAAAAGTGAAGACAAAAAGAAACAATGAAGAAGATTAAAGATGAAACATACCAAAAATACAACCCAAAAATTTCGTTTTCAAAATCATTTCAGAACATAAATATCATTGCCATAGTATAAAATCATAAAACATGTATCTCAAAAATCTCATAAGATCTGTCATCATATCACTATCTCATATATAAAATATAAGAGTAAACTCCCAGGCTAAAAAAACTGTGGTGTGTGCCATGCTATCATCCCGAGCCCTTTCCCTTGCTAGTTGAAATACCTGAAACCAAAACTGAAACTGTAAGCACGAAGCTTAGTGAGCTCCCCCAAACTACCACATACCATACAATTATCACATATAACAAATAATATAACTCTGGGACTACTCCCAATTGCATCGGGACGAATCCCGACATCGGCTTACCCGGCATCAGACTCATGCCCGACATCGGGCTCACCCCGACATCCGACCGGATCGGGCATCGGGCTCACCCCGGCATCGGGCTTACCCCAACACATACACAACATAACATATATCATGAACACATAACATAATCACATGATCTGCATCGGGCTTGCCCCGGCATCAGACCGAAGCCCGGAACATATAATCTGAACATATAAATTAGCATACACCGGGCTTGCCCCGGAACATATAATGCACGGCATAATAACTAGCATACATCGGGCTTGCCCCGACATCGGGCTTATCCCGGAACACTGAGCACATAACATATAACATAATCGCATATACTACATCTGGCTTGCCCGACATTGGACCGAAGCCCGGAACACATAACACGTAACACATATATATGCATGAATCACAAAGACATCAGGCATACTTATCTACTTCTCGGGACCGCCCCGACATCGGACCAAAGTCCGAAAACATATAAACTGCATCGGGCTAAACCCCGGCATCGGGCTCACTCCGGCATACTTCTACAACTTAAACGGGCCGGCATTGTGGCCGTAGACCCGTTCCTACTGGAAGGAAACTCACCTCGCGTAACTGGCTGCTGAACACTAAGCGGAAATATCTGACTGCTGCTCCGGCGACTCTCCGACTATAATTTCCACAATGACACTTAGTCAGAAACCGGCAACTATCCTTAGGGTAAATTGACCATTTTACCACTGGATAAAGTCCACATCCTGGTCAAAGTCAACTTTCCAGTTGACCAGACTCGCCGAGTTGGCCCGCCAACTCGCCGAGTCCCAATCCTTTCATCTATCCCCAACTCGTCTCCACTCGTCGAGTTTAGCAAGAACTCGACGAGTTCTCCTTCAACTATAACCTTGGGACAATCTTCATCTGACTCGCCGAGTTCCTCCTTAACTCGTCGAGTTTATCATATGAACGTGTCTAGTCTTTGACTCGCTGAGTTGTATGAACAACTCGTCGAGTCCGTCTTCATGAGTTGGGAGATGGCCTTGGACTCGCCGAGTACGTTCCTGCACTCGCCGAGTCCCATGGTTTCCAGATCCATGGCTTTGTCCATTTCATTGACTCCCTTCCCTAGACTCATCCAAATCCCTTCTGAACTAAAATGGGTTCATCTGAGTCATAACAGTTTTGGGAACCAACTCACGACTCGCCGAGTCCCAAGAACGACTCGCCGAGTCCAT